GAACCCCGAGATCTTTCATCTGCGGGACCTGCTGCATGGGAGCCTCATTTAACGAGTGTCCCATCTTTCGTTGCTAGGAGCCGGCACTTGCTTAGATTCAAAGGTAAGTCCCACTTGACTGACCACCAATGGACTACTTCTAATAATAATAATAATGGTATATTTCACGAAGCCCATGAAGCATGCTTAGNTTCAAAGGTAAGTCCCACTTGATCGACCATCGATGGACCACCTATATGTCCGTTTGCAGGTTTAATTCTGTCATTTTGACATTATCAGCGAACATGAAACACGGATTTTGAAGATCGTGTGCCAGATCATTGATGAATATGAGAAACAGTAGGGGGCCTAGCATTGAGCCCTGAGGAACCTCACTTGTAAACATCGCATGGTTAGAAATGTAGTCACCCATCTTGACCAGGAAGGTGCGATTAATCCTAGGCTCCGAACCTTGACGTCCAACAACCGATGGCTGACAGAGCCAAATGCTTTACAGAAGTCTAAGTAGCAGACTTCTACATTTTTCTCCTCATCCATTCGTTGAGTTACTTTATCTAGGAACACAAGCAGATTCGAAAGACATGAATTCCGTTGTACAAAGCCATGTTGTGACCGTGTCAGGAGTCGATTGCTAGTTAGATGTAGGCAAACCTGTCTCCTGATCAGCCACTCCAGGCACTTACACAGCACTGACGTTAGGCTAACGGGTCTGTAGTTTTCTGCTTTGTGTTTCGGTCCAGCCTTGTGCAATGATACTACCGTAGCTGTACGCCAGTCCTGGGGTAGCGTGGCAGTTTGCACTGATTCCCTAAAAGGTACAGTCAGCGGCCCGGCTAGCACACCGGCCAGTGGCTGCACTATGGCTGGATGTATTCCATCTGGACCTGCTGACTTATGCTTGTTGAGCATCTGGAGTTTCCGCTGTAAATCTGTTTCAGAGATGGCAACGTATCAGCTGATCTTGTTAAACCCGGATTATCCACATTAGCTGGGGTCTTGTGCATGCTTTTAAAGAACTTCAGTAGGGTTTCCGCTTTATCGCGGTTACACGTAGCTATGCCTCCGTCGGGCAACGCTAGTACCCCTACACATTCCTGTGTGCGTGTGTTGGCTTGCATGTACGCATAGAAGCTTTTTGGGTTCCTTTTGATACCTCGGGCTAAGTTAAACTTGAATTCATATTTGGCACGCCTTTGGAGGTCTTGACTTCTGTTGAGCGCCCGCTTGTAGTCACTCCAGGCTTGT